TGGACTGTGGGACATAAAGTGATACTTGTAAAGAATGTGCCTCTTAGGCAAGTAGATATAAGAGACCAAAGGGGCGGCTTCTGTCCAGAGGTGAGATGGGAAGGCAGAGAGAGTTAGGTGTTGGTTGAATGTTCATGGGGAATCAGGGGCAGAGGGGAGGAGTGTGCGGTCACAGAATGGCGTGAGTGGTTGGGGTCTCATAACAATGTAGGTTAAAAAGAAAAAAAATTCTGTATGGGAGACTAACTTGAAATGAAAACTTCATTTAATTACATCAATAAAAAAAGACAAAAAAAAAAAAAGTTAATTTACTGATTCTAAAAGCAGTTGTGAAAATTCCGAGTAGGCATGAATTTCTTGTACTCTCAATGGAGGCCAACGTGTATGCATTTATTTTACCTTATTTCAGTGATACTAATAACAATCTTTCTCCTCCTATTTTCTGAATAGTTGATCATCAAAGCATCTACTGCACAGTTGCAGGATTTAGTGTGTTATTAATACTAACCAGTGTCTTGGCAATACTGCTAAAAGTATTCTGGATTGACTTTATTCTGCTATGGAGAGACATAGTTAGACCTTACAAAACTAGGAATGGTAAGTGGTCAATTTCAAGGTTTTTTCCAAAAGAAAAAGTCTCATAATGACTTTCAGTTATTTGTCTATTAATCTCTCAATAACTTATGCTGCTAAACCCATATTTCATTTTGTTTGCTAAGATATCATCGATGAATCTTTTCTGAGTCTACTCAGAGGCCATTGTCCATTCTGCCCCAGAGCACCCTTTGGTCCTGAGATTCATCTCAATAGCTTAAATTTTCCCAATAACTGTCCCTAACATGGTCTCAATAACAGAATCTGCCCTAAGCTCAGAAAGGTTTAAATATTTGGGAAAATGTGTTTTGGTGAAGCTTTATGCAATTAAAAACATGAACAAAATCGTTCTTTCTTTCCAGATGTGAGTAGGGTAGATGTGTCCATCAAAACACAGGTGTATTTTACCAGAAACTCTATTCTATACACTGTCTTACCTATGCACATAAGTATCCATGTTAAAGGAGACCATCTGCCTGCTGAACATCATCCGCATTCTTTCCTTTGCAGGCAAGTATGTGCTACATTTTCCCATCTAGTTGCCTGCAATAGGAGCTAATTGTTTGATTTGTGGGAAATTCTGATCCCGTAAAAATTTCCACTCCCTTGCCACTATTAGCCGTTAGCATTTTTACTTCCCCAGGGGAAGTATGGGGAAAATGGAAGAAACAGATCTATCCGGCAGCAGAAGACACCTTCTCCATGACTATAAATACTTACTAATCAGTTATTAATCAAGCTTTGCCATATGGTTTGCACTAAACTAGACAGCCTTGTGCCTGTTCTCGATCATGTGATTTCATTCTATCTGAGACAGTAAAAAGGAAGAGAACTTTGGGATCAAGATTGTGATTTTCTCACCATGTCTTGTGGCAGGGGATTGTCATAGTATCTTGATTCTAGACACTTTGGGGGACCAGGTACCTTCGCCAACAACCATAAAACTCAATGAGGAAGGTCTGCTGAGAGTTAGTTAAGCATTTTTTAGGCGCAAGTAATGCAGTTCCACTTCTTGTTTTCATTTTCAGATGGAAAGATCTACGATGCTTATGTTATCTATTCACGCGACTACCGGAATCAGCCTGAGGGGGCCAGTTCTGTGGAGAACTTCGTTCACCAGATTCTGCCTGATGTTCTGGAAAATAAGTGTGGATATAACTTATGCATATATGGGAGAGACCTGCTACCTGGAGAAGGTAAAGCTATCAACATACATCAGGGACAAAATTCATATTTATCAGAACCCTAAGAGATAGGAGACTTTATCTATGCATTGGCTAAGGAATTGCCTTTTTTCTATCCCAGACCTAAATATTTCTCCAGAAGGAGATACTTACTCTTTGCTCCCCCTACTCCCGTCTCCACCCTAGTCATGAGGTCTTCATAGCAGTGTCTGTGATGTGCAAAGTGAGGGGTCCTTTGCCGCACGGATTAACAGGGCATTGCCCCTTCTTTTCACCCCTGTTCCTGACTAGTATCCCTGACATTTCTTAATTCTCTCTAGAAGATTTGAAGGCCTTGAACATTCAAGAATCTTGTTCTTAAAGCCATAGGCATTGTCTAAAATATTTGAGGGGACTTCAAGAGTCTTACGATTTTCTTTATACTGGTGAAAAATTTGCCAATATATTTTCTCACAAGAACAAGTGACTTCTGTGTCTTAATATTCTCAGCTGATTTCAGGCACTTTTGACAGTTTTATCATAATTGCAGCCATTTCAGTAGCTTTTTTCTCCTCCCTCCACATTCATATCAGTTACCCTGGAACCTTCACTGTAACCCTTCTCTAGCTCCTCAGAGGCCAGGAATGGTTTGGAGTGTACAAGAGGCAGGGCAGCATGAGCACAAATCCAATAAAATGAATGTGTGTGTAGGAAACTGTGCATGTAAAATGGCATTGCTACTGAAAAGAGGAATTCAAGTGCCTGTAGATTTAAAGTTACACACAAGCGCATTTATTTTATCCTGGCGTATTTAGTTGCCTAGTAGGAGCCCTGGGAGACACAAACGGTTAAGCCCTCAAATGCTAACCAAAAGGTTGGCAATTTGAACCCTCCCAGAGGCGCCCTGGAAGAAAGGTATGGCTGTCTGCTTTTGAAGCATCACATCCTTGAAAACCCAATAGAGTAATTCTGCTTTGCACATATGGGGTCACTACGAGTCAAAATCAACTTGATGGCAACCGTTTTTTTTTAGTCACCTAGTAATGACTTAGGGAGCCCTGGTGGTACAAGCGTTAAGCTCTCCGGTGCTAAGAGAAGGGTTGGTGGTTTAAACCCACCAGCTGCTCCGTGGGAGAAAAGATCTGGTGATCTGCTCCTATAAAGATCCCAGCCTAGGAAACCCTATGGGGCAGGTCTAGTCTGTCATATTGGGTTCCCTGTGAGTCGGAATTGACTCAACAACAAACAACAACAACAGTAATGGCTTGAGAGATTTGTGAAATGTCAAATTCCGGTGAATATAATCTTCTTCCCCAGCTCTCCCCAGTGGCTACCCACACAGCTGGGGAATAATAAGTGATGGTGCTCCAATGCTCTTTTTATGCTCTGAAACATTTCTCCTCTAGAACCTGCAGAGACCACCATCATTTGTGATGTCAAAGCACGTGCTACTTCTGGTTGTGGTCTTTCCATCTATTTGTTTGCAGCTCCATCAATCTATGGTCACACCTCTCCCAAACCAAACGAGAAGATGCTCTCTGATGTGCAAGCTTATGCTGTCTTTACAGTGCTGTTTTTAGGATTTATTTTTGAATGGTTTCCCCCTTCCTTTTCCTCAGCTTAGAGCCTTTGGATCTTTCCTCCCCGTGAAATAAAATAAAATAAAACAAAAAAATATACATAACTTCACTCTCCCCTTAGAAAAAATTTCATGATTGACTAATGCAATATATTTTTTCCATGCTACTTATTTTCCATTTGCCCTTCTGAATCCACTCTGCCCTTTTCTCCTTCCAGTGGCCCAGCTGATTATTATGGAATGCACTGACAGCCCCCCTCGCTCTCTGCTCCAGGCTGGGTTTGGCCAATGAGAGGCAGTGGCAGGAGAGCAGAAGGCGAGACCTAGTTCCCTGCCTCCTCCCTTGCTGGTTGCTAGGACAGCTCTTGTCAGTTGGCCCTCCTAAGACCTCTGCACAGTTGGGGTTCCATAAATTTCTTCTCCTCTCCAGACCCCGAGAGTGGTAACAGCTCCCTGCTGGAGCTAGCTGTGGCGTGCTGCATCATCTCTTGTTTATTTCTACATCAGTTCTTGTTGATGCTTGTTGGTCCCTTAATTTCAATTCCACATCTTTCATAAATTGTCTTTTCATTAAACTCCTTTTATTCAGTTCCTGTGAGTATGCCAAGTTTTCTGTGACAATCCTGACAGACACAAAATTTATATCTGCTACCAATTAGCATTTATTCCCTTATTTCAGAGTGTATATATTGTAATCTTTTAGCTACCACTGTATAAGAGTATATTGAATTGTTTTGTTTTGGTCATGTTTCCTTAACCATGCCTTCACCTGTTTGCAGTAAGAACTGGGTGTTGTATGTGGTCTTTATAACTCCAGCCAGAAACGAATGTGGAATCACTATTGCATTGATGTTCCATAAACGCTGACTTGGAAAGGGGATCCAGTCTTCTTGAAGATTTTTCTAGCCTGGATCAGATCAGCTCCTAAAATAGCACTAGTGGGTGAAGTGGATCCAGAACTTCCCTATCAACTTTGGTCAGTTCAGAGGGTTTCTAGATTTGTGCTCTTTCATGTAAGAGTTAAAGTTCTGAGCCCCTTTAAAACATGTGAGCTAATCTTCTAAAGAGATCATACGGAGCTAACGGACCTAAATTCTAAGTCTCTCATGAAATGATAAGGTAATTATCTGTAAACCCCCATTTAGTTTGAAGGACTGTCTGTTTTAGTTAGGAGAAAGGTCAGTGCTTTGAAACCGCCAGCGGCTCCGCAGGGAGAAAAGATGCCGCAGTCTGCTTCCACAGAGATTTACAGCTTTGGAAACCCTATGGGGTCACCATGAGTTGGAATTGACTCAAATGCAGTGGGTTTAGTTCGTTTGGATCTATCTATAGGGGAAAGAAGAGGGAATCAGAGCTGATAGTCTCACCGTGAAAGGCTTAAGGACTCAGTGCGTTCTCCCTCCAAGCACGTTTCCACTTTGCTGAAGAAGTGAATTGAACCCTATCAGATTCTTACACCAGATTATAAGAATAATAATTTTTAAAAAGTTCAGAACACTTATGCTCAAAGTGTTACATTTAAAAAAGAAACAATAGAAAGTCTTCCTCTTCTTTTCTTACTAGATGTAGCCACTGCAGTGGAGACCAACATACAAAAGAGCAGGCGGCACATTTTCATCCTGACTCCGCACACCGCGCACAGCAAGGAGTTTGCCTACGAGCAGGAGATCGCCTTGCATAATGCCCTCCTTCAGAACAAATCTAAGGTGATTCTTATTGAAATGGAGGCTCCTAATGAACAAGCCGGACTGCAGCTTGGGAAGTTTCAAGAGTCTCTCAAGCACCTTATGAAGGTGCAGGGTACCATCAAGTGGAGGGAAGACCGTGTCGCCGACAAGTTGTCCCTGAATTCCAAATTCTGGAAGCATGTGAGGTACCAGATGCCTGTGCCAAACAAACTCCCTAAAAAGACTTTAAATCTGGTTTCCCTGAGTGCCCAAAGACGGTAATGCTGATTTTTGGAGATCTGATTTTGGAGATCTCCTGACTTCTCCGAGCTGGATTATTGCCACTGTGCCAGATACTGGTTGCTGTGAAGGCGGAGCTGTGTAAAGGGTATTCCGGCCTCAGGGTTCGTTTAGTGTATACTTCCAGGTTCCAGATTCTGGGCGGGATGCCAAACACTCTCAGATTTTATCTGCAATCCCTCCCTTCCCTCCTCACCTCCCAGGTCCTTCACTTTCTCACTCTGCTGCTTTTTCTCCATTCCAGTGGGGGGGGTCTTCTCACTATACTCACCGCCCATTTCTCTGTCTCTTTCTAGTTCCCGCTCTCTCCTCATTACTCTTCAATAACCTACTCCCTGAGCATCAAACTAAAAGGTTTAGAGTTAAATTATCGTGTGATCTTGAAGAACATCCAGATTCCCTCAAGCAGAATGTTGGCAGTAAATCTTGTTCGCAACATGTCCGAATTTTTTTTTTTTGTACATTTGATTTGATTTGCTGTTTAGTTTTCTCATCTCACCATTTTGCCGATTCTGTGTAAGTGCTTTATCCCAGTTGCCGTTCTAATCAAGTTTTTTTTCAGTTCATTTATTTTTATTCTCTTTAGAAATGTTTTTCTCACTATAAAAGTGATAGAAGCATATTATAGAAAAACAAAGTATGAAAGAAAAAGATGAAAAATCTTTCATAAATCCACCATCCTGAGGTCGCCACTTGTAAACGTTTTGGTAAATTTTTTTCTGTTTCTTTTCTTTTAAGTTGTAATTCAGAATTGCACGTTCCATTTATGTACGTGAATTACACAATACATGTACCCTGGGTGGTGCAAGCAATGAAGCGCTTGACAACTAGCTGAAAGGTTGATGGTTCGAACCCATCCAGAGGCACCTCAGAAGACAGGCCTGACGATCTGCTTCCGAAACGTCAAAAACCAAAAAACCAAACCTGTTGCTGTCGAGTCGATTCTGACTCATAGGGACCCTATAAGACAGCAGAACGACTCTCTGGGGTTTCCAAGGAGCACCTGGTGGATTCGAACTGCCGACCTTCTGGTTATGAAGCGAGCTCTTAATCACTGCGCCACAGCCACTGAAAACCCCATTGAGTGTAGTTCTGCTCTGCACACATGGGGTCGCCATGAGTCAGAATCGACTGGAGGACGGCAAGCAGCAACAATAACCACGGTACATATTTTTATATTTTTGTATCTAAAGCATGTGGCATGTCATTAAAATATTTTAAATAATTTTAAAATATTCATAGTGTTCCATCTCACGGTTGTGCCACAGCTGTTACGCCTATTCCCTTCTTATTGGATATGGAAGTTGTTAAATATTCATTGCTATAAATAATTCTGCGAAGACCGTATCAGTGTATCTCCCAATTGGGAAGGTTTTTTTCCCCCCAAGTTGAAACAACTTCATTTGTTGTAACATTTCTATGAAATTGGTAGGGCATTTTGGCGAAACTGTTTTGGCAAAACTGAAGCCAAGTTGCCCCGCCAACCGCCCTCCCCAACCTTCAGTTCCCTGAAGGAGAACATGTCCCCGAGCGCCCACAGGCAGCCTTCACTGGGTCTCCGGGCTCAGGCGGAGCGTCCTGTCAAGCTGCGAGGCCTGTCAGCTCCTCAGATTTTACCAGTGGATGAAGATCCTATCCTCAGCTAGCTGCTTAATAATATATCTGATTCCATATTTAAGTGGCAAAAGAACACTGCACTCCAGACCCCTTGACCGGGCCTGTGATCTTGAACTCGCTGCCATTTAATACCTTTCAGAGTCTTGACTGAAAGAAACCATATTTCTGGAATACTTCTGGTTTGCCTAAAGTATCTGTATTTACTCATCCCTCTAGATGGCCTGTAATCTAAATCTATACCTCTGGATTAGGGTTGCCAGATAAAATATGCCAGTAAAAGTGGAATTCAGATAAACAACCTATAATCTGAAATTCAAATTTAACTTGTCTTGTATTTTTATTTGCTAAATCTGGCTACCCTATCCTCATAGATGATTGTGCTTTCATGCGGTACCATTGTTAACCACAGTGACGTGGATCGGAGCCGCCTGCCGCAATTGCCAATTCTGAGACCTATAGGGTTGATATGACCGAAACAGGTTTGGTGTTGTGTTTGTTTTTTATACCTGTAGATGTAATCTCATTTGGGAATAGAGTTTTCTTTGTTATGTTAACGAGGCCATATCAGTGTAGGGTGTGTCCTAAACCTAATTGCTTCTGAGTTACAAGGAGCAGCACAGACATAGAAACAAGCAAAGGAACGTTGACACCCGGTGAAGATTGCCCAGGAATGGAGGAATGCCGGAAGAGACAAGAATCTTCTCCCAGAGCCAACAGAGCAAGAGCCTTCCCCTGGAGCCCACCAAAACCAAAACCAAACCCATTGCCATCAGGTCGATCCCGACTCCTGGTGACCCTGTAGGACAGAGTAGAACTGCCCCATAGGCTTTCCAAGGAGCGGCTGGTGGATTCAAACTGCTGACCTTTTGGTTAGCAGCCGGGCTCTTAACCACTGTGCCACCAGGGCTCCCCTCTGGAGCCAGTGCCCTGAATTTGGACTTCAGCTTCCTAAACTGTGAGAAAAAAAAATCTGTGCTCTAAAGTCACCCACTTTTGGCATTTCTGTTACAGTGACACTAGGAAACTAGGGCAGCAAGTTACTTAACTTCTATAAACCTTAGTTTTCTTACTGTAAAATGGGTATATTACCAAACTCTGGATTTCTGTGCTAATAAAAAAAAAAAAAGCATATGAAGTATTTAGACCACAGTAAGAAATTAATAAATGGCAACAGTTGTTACACTGAAGCTTCACCGTGTTGATTATAGTGTTGATTATATCCAGTGACCTCTCTCAATGAGAACCTCTAAGAATAAATTCTCCCCGGCCTCAGTGTCAGGAATAGACCTGCCTTAATCTCAGCTTCCCCAGCCCCCTAGACTGACAGGTGTGTTTTTGATTTATGAACACAGGGACTATTGGAGCTGATTTTATTTCCCTCTTCACATTAGCTACTTGGAAGCATAAAAGCCAGATTTAGGATCTTTCCACAGTTAGTTTATAGGACATTGTAACATGCAATCTCCCATTCCTGGCTACATAATACCTTCATTTTTGATTTGCCCCATACTTCTTATTTTTCAATTTATTTTAACTGATTATATTGTACGCTCCTTTGAAAGTGTTTGACAAACATTTTTAGTTGTTGTTGGTTGCTGTGGAGTCAGCTTGAACTCATGGCGACCTCTTGTACAACAGAATGAAATGTTGTCTGGTCCTGCTCCATCTTCATGATTGTCCGTGTGCTCTAGTCTGTTGTTGCGGCCACTGTATATTTTGGGTGTCTTTCAACCTAGGGGGTTGTGATCCATAGGGTTTCCACTGGGCAATTTTCAGAAGTAGATTCCCAGGCCTTTCTTCCTAATCTATCTTAGTTTAGAAGCTTTAGGTGACCCTGCTGGTATTTGAAATATGGGTGGCATAGCTTCCAGCATCATAGTCACATGCAAGTCACCACAATACCACAAATTGACAGATGAGTAGTGGAACAGACATTTACTGAGTGTCTATTTGATAACTGAATGTGTGTTGGGCACTTATTTATTTATTTTATTGTACTTTAGGTGAAGGTTACAGAACAAATAGTTTCTCATTAAACAGTCAATACACATATTGTTTTATGACATCGGTTAACAACCCCACGACATGTCAACACTCTCCCTTCTCGACCCTTTTTTTTTTTTGGTGAAAGTATACATAGCCAAAGATACACCATTTCAAAAATTTCTACATGCACAGTTCAGTGCCATCCATTACATTCTTCCAGTTGTGCTGCTATTCTCACTTTAGATGAAGGTTTACAGAACAAAATAGTTTCTCATTAAACAGTTAGTACACGTTGCCCTATGACAATGGTTAAGAATCCCACTACATGTCAACACTGTCCTTACTCAACTTTGGGTTCCCTATTACCAGCTTTCCTGTCTCCTTCTGCCTTCTAGTCCTTGTCCCTGGACTGCTGTGCCTCATTAGTCCCATTTTGTTTTATGGGGCTGTCCAATCCCAGGATGAACGGTGAACCCCAGAAGTGACTTCACCACTGAGCTAAAAGGGTGTCTGGGGGCCATACTCTTGGGGTTTCTCCAGTCTCTTTCAGGCCAGTAAATTTGGTCTTTTTTGTGTGTGTTAGAATTTTGTTCTACATCCTTCTCCAGCTCTGTCCAGAACCCTCTGTTGTGATCCCGGTCAGAGCAGTCAGTGGTGGTAGCCTGGAACCATCTAGCTGTACTGGACTCAGTCTGATGGAGGCTGTGGTCCATTAGTCCTTTGGACTAATCTTTTCGTTGTATCCTGTTCTCTTCATTCTCCCTTGCTCCCGAAGGCGTGAGAACAGTGGAGTATCTTAGATGGCTGCTCACAGGCTTTTAAGACCTCAGACGCTACTTTTTGAGAGGGGCAGAGAGCAGGAGTGTTATGGGCACTCTAAAGGGCTAGATTAAGTCCTGACCCTTAAGGGGTTTACAGTGGGAACTTAGAAGAAGAGGGTCTGAGAGAAATTGGGAAGCAGTTCAGAGAACACACAAAGGCCTGGCCTCAGTGAAGTCGAGCTCTGACATCCTGAGCTCTTTCCCCCATCACTCGTTTTCCTAAACCAGCACACCACCTCTCAACTTTCCTGAGCTCTCTGGGCCTCCGTTTTGGCAAATGAAGATGGGAGGATGGAGAATTCGAGCCCTGAGTGCTTTTTCAGCTCCAATCCTATGATTTCAAGCTGCATTCTCATAGTGAGGCCAGGAGACTCCCAGAAGACCTGGATTCTCCCGCCAGCACCACCGCTAAACTCTCTCAGTTTCTTCCTCTGTACAGTGATGCTTCCCCTACCACACAAGGCAATGTGAATAAAATTAATTAGGCCAAAATTTACTGATCCCGGTAAAAATTCCTATGAATTATAAATACACACGTAATTATTTTCAGTTGAGTCAAGTTTGTATACGATAAAATGCAGGTCCTAAGAGTTCAGTTTCTTGAGTTTTGACAATTGCATACACCTGTGTAATTATCACTCAAAATAAAACAGAAATATTTCCGTCACCCCAAAAAGACCTCTTGTGCCACTTCCCAGTCAATCCCTTCACCATCCCAGTGACAAATAATGTTCTGATTTCTACGGAATTAGAAATAGATGACTTTTGTCAGATCTTGAAATTCCTATCAACAGAGTCCTACAGCATGATGTCTGGCTACTTTCACATAACCTAATGTTTTTGCAATTCATTCATGTTCTGCATGCTTCAGTAGTGGGGTCCATTGTATTACTCAGTAGTATCCCCTTGTATGGCTCTACAACAATTTGTTTAATCATTTTCCTGTTGATGGATGTATGGGTGGTTTCTTATTTATGGCTTTTATGAATATGGCTGACATGAACATTCTTATAAATGTATGCTCTTTCTTTTGCTTCAGTACCTAGAAGCGGTCATAGGGTAGATGTATGTTTATGTTTTGCAAAGTATTTGTACCATTTTACATTTCCACCATCTACATATGAGAATTCTGTTGCTCTACATCCTCACAAGTGATTGGTCTTGTCAGATTTCTTTTTATTTTAGGCATTTTAGTGGGTTTTAAATGAATCTCATTGTGGGTTTTATATACAGTTCCCTAACAGTTAATGATATTGAGCATTTTTTTCATGTTATTAGCCATTTGGAGCCCTGGTGGTGCCAGTGGTTAAAGCGTTTGGCTGCTAACCAAAAGGTCGGCAGTTTGAATCTACCAGCCACTCCTTGGAAACCCTATGGGGACAGTTCTACTGTGTTCTATAGGGTTGCTATGAGTTGTAATCAACTCAACAGCAACGGGTTTTTTTTTGTTATTAGCCATTTACATATCTTCTCCAGTGAAGTTAAAATCTTTTCCTCACTTCTAAATTATGTTGTTTTTCTTTATATTCTTGACATGTATACATTTTTTATATATTCTAGATACAAGTTGTTAGTCAGACAGATGAAACATGAGTATTTTTCCAGGCTGTCACTTACCTATTCATTTTCTTAATGGTGTCCTTGATTAGCAGACATTTTCTATTTTGATGCCATCCGATTCATAATCTTTTTACATGATTAGTGCTTTTTATGTCGCATCTAAGAGTTGTTTGCCTACCCAAGATCACGGGACTATTCTTCTATGCGTTTTAATGTAAGATTTACGGTTCCAGCTTTTTGTTTAGGTCTTTGACCTATGCTCAATTAATATTTATCTATGAAATAGGTAGAGAGCCAAGGTTCATTTTTTTTTTTTCTCCCTGTAGAGATGCATAGTTGATCTAGCAACATTTGTGACAGACTTTTCTTTCCCCATTGAATTGACATGGTACCTTGGTCAAAAATCAACTGATGTATACAAGAGGGTCTACTTCTGTACCCTCTATTAGCAATGTTTTGCAGTTTTCAAAGTAAATATCGCATCCATCTTCCAAAGAATTTACTTTTTGGTATTTGATTTTTGTATGCTATCATAAGCGGTACTTTTAAACAAATTTCATTTTCCAACTTTCCATTAGTAATTTATAGAATTAGTTGGTTTTGTGAATTGACCTTGTAGTCCAATAATTTGTAAAACTCACTATTTCCAGTAATTGTTTTTGGTAGATTTCACATGCTTTCTGTGAAAAAGGGGCAATCTACATACAATCACGCCATCCACGAAAACTTGCAGTTTTTCTCTTCCAATGTTTATGCTTTCTATTTATTTCTTGACTTACTGCAAAGCAATTGTCAAGGGTGAGAGCTGACATCCTTATCTTGTTCCCAATCTTAGGAAAAAACATTCAGTGTTTTACCAGTAATGATGAAGTTATCTGTAAACAGTAGCCATGGTGTTGACTCTGACTCATGGCGATCCCATGCGTGTCAGAGGAGAACTGTGCTCCACTGGATTTTCAATGACTGATTTTTCAGAAGTAGATCACCAGGCCTTTCTTCTAAGGTGCCTCTGGGTGGATTTGAACCTTTTGGTTAACAGCTGAGTGCGATAACCTTTTGTACCACCCAGGGATTCCAAAGTTACCTGTAGGGTGTGCTTTATCAGATTTAGAAAATTCCTTTCTAGTCTCAGTTTTCTGTGGGTCGTTGATCAAGAAAGGTGTTGGCTTTTGTCAAACGCATTTTTCCCCATTTCTTGAGATAATTATATGATTTTTATCTTTTATTATATGGTGAATGACATTGGGTAAAAAATAATGAAGGCCCAACTGCCACCCAGACTGAACATTTATTGTGAGTTCTACCACACCAAAAGGATTTAGAAACACACAGTCCCTTTTGGGCATCTTTTTTTTTCCTAAACAATTTAAAATCTCAATACGAGACTTTTGCACACCTGGAGTTCCTGGGTGATGCAAATGGTTAAGCACTAGACTACTTACACTAGACTACTAACCACAAGGTTGATGGTTCGAACCCACCCAGACGCGACTCGGGAAGAACAGGTCTGGCGATGTGCTTCTGAAAACCCTACGGAGCAGTTCTACTGAGCACACATGGGGCGCCATGAGTCGGAACTGACAGCAGCTGGTCTGCTTCTGTACACCTATTATTTCCAAACAGTGAACTTTCTTCCCCCAAATTCCTCAAGAGAAGCAGAAGGCCTCACGGCAGACCTGCGTACTTGGGACAAATGACGCCTCCACACCTTTGGCTCACCTCAGGGAGCCTTGGGGGCCCTGGGACTCACCTCCACTTCCAACTTCTTCCCAGCCCTCCCCCAGCCCCTTCCCCGAAGTACAAATGTTACTTTTGCTCTGAGGGGGTTAGCTCTCCAGGCCTCCGTGCATTTAGTTGCGCGGCCAGAAGGGTGCATAGGAGCGGGCGGGGCACAGACAAGGCACCCCAGGCCGTGCAGGCCACAAGGCCACCGCCCGCCGGGTGGGTGCGGACGGAGTGGAGGCCCCGCTGTCGCGCGGACTCCGGGGAAGGCCCCCGCGATCGCGCAGCGCCGGGAAGTGGCAGGCGGGACTCTGGCACCCGGTCCGCCGGAGACGGAGCGCACCCCCGAGGCAGAGCGCACCCTCGAGGCACCGCGAGCCAGAGCACCCCCAGACGGGGAACCTCCCCGCCCGCAGCCTCCCCCAGCCGAGTTTCGCCACCAAGGGCCGCCGCACGCTTTTTTCTTCTTACTTTCAGATCCTTAAAAAAAAAACCCAAAAAACTTTTCTAGTTGCCTTATCTCTGTAATCACCCCCCGCGGCCTCGCTCCCGGCTCCTTTCTCCCCGTTTACGTTTCCCCGTCGGAGGGCACCCATCGCTGCCTCTCACCTCCTGTCTGAACTCCTGCCTCCGCCATTGCGTCCAGGTGTGAAGGACTGACAGCCGCCCCCGCCCCAGGCTCGGGGGACACCGTCTGAAGGTAAGCACAGGTGCTGCCGCCTCACTGGGCCCCCCTCCCCACTACTCTCTGCCCCCCACTCCTGGAGGCAAAAGGCGTCCCAGCCTTAGGGGCTGAGATTCTGAAAACAAGATGGATGGAGTTAAAGGGACAATTAAATATGTGTACATGTTTGTGTGTGTGTGTGTATGTGCATATGTATATGTATGTGTGTATATATAATTTTAAATATACAGGTATGTGTATAATATATAAAATATATAAATTTAAATTGGTGAGAAAGCATCATCCACTTCCCTGATGGTACAGCTTTAGAGGTTGAGCGGTCCCCAGTGGTTTTCTGGAAAGATGACAATGGCTGAAATGAAAAGTGATAGCAATCGTTGGTATTTATGAAGCATTTCCTGTGTGCCTGGTACTGTGTAGAAAGTTTTAGATGTGTTACTTTTACCTAATCCTCCTACTAGCCCGATGAAGCCAAATGAAGCCCAGAGAGGTTCAGACATTTACCCAAGAGCATCCAGCTGCTAAGTAATAAACCCCAGATTCACGCCTAAATTTTACTGACTTCAAAACCTTTGTCCTTATTTTGAGGTGCTCCTGCCTCCAGGAGTTAGAACACCTGTAAGCAGTTGTATCACAGTTATCAGATTAATGAGTGTGCCGTCCCAGGCAGATACCGAGACCCGAGATGATTGTTGTAATGTCACTAATTTCCCTTCAGTTCACCACCCTTGCTCAATTCTTGGGTTCTCAGCACACATCTATTGCATATCCATTCGGTGCCATGCATGAAGCTAGGATTTGGGCCACGCCTCTCAACCTGAGGGCCTTGGATGGTCTGGGAGGGTGTAATTTGGGGGAAAACTAAGTGTAAATATATGTTTATGTAAATTTTGGGGACAGAGTGACATCCACCCATCCCCACCTCTGCCCTTATATGAAAATGCTTGCTGGCACAGGCTTGAACAAGGACATGCACTGTTTGGGGGCTTTAGCATATGGAGAGCTTCACTGAGCCCAGTTGCAAGGATTGTAGGAACCTGGCAGCTGGAGGAAGTGGGGAGGGTGGTCTAGGTAGCAAAACTAACATCTGCATAAGTGGAGCTGAGGAAAAGCGTAGGAACAGTAAGAATGGAGGTTTGTATGGCAAAGGCTACGTGATGGAAATGATTTTCTTGGCCTTACAAATGATAAACCTAATTCAACATAAATTTTTTTTTTTCTTAGAGTCGAATTGTGTGTGTGTGTGTGTGTGTGTGTGTGTGTGTGAGAGAGAGAGAGAGAGAGATGTCAAAGATCATTTTTTCCCTCTTCTTAATTTGGTTGCTTTATCATCTCACACGCTGAGAAACCTCTTATTCATCCAGACACTGTAAGGATATGATCACGTTTTAAAATCTCAGTTATATGTTTTGTTAGTAAGAGTGTTTTACACTGAGGCAATCTACATTGATCTGTGCGTGAGTCAGACTATCCAGCTGTCATTTGGGTTTGACCATTCTACCTGGTTGGGTCTCAGTTTCCTGGTCTGGAAGAACCTTGAAGTGGCTTAATCTCTGCAGGTCCCTGTGAATCCTTTGTTTCTAAAGAATGGCACTTGGCGTAGGAGACAGTCTGAAGATAAGGGCGGCAGCGCAGAACCAGGGGCTTAGGAGATGGCCGCTTGGAGACTTGGGCCACTTTGGGAGGCTCTCGCACTGTCTTGGGGGACAGACGGAGCGGTCAGTTTGCATCTGACTTTCACTCCAGGTCCCATGTGTTTGGAAGATATTCTGTTTTTCCTTTAGGGGAAAGCTTCATGCTGTTGGATGAGTTAGGAAAGTGTGTGACTTTATAAACACCCTGGATCGATGGCTCCTAGCTCAGCTGCATGTTAGAATCACCTGGGAAACTAAAAAAAAAAAAAAGACAAAAAAACCCAGGATGCCCAGCCATCGCTAGCGCCCAGCCATCACTAGCGCCCAGCCATGGCTATTTTTTTCAAGGGCCAGGTTAAGAACGAGTGCCTTCGGCTTGGCTACGTCGGTGTTAAAACATACTTTTCCAGAGGCCGCAATTAAAAAACGTGCAGGTGGAAGATTATACAACCATGCCAACGGATCCAATCACCTGGATGACAAACTGGGTGCATTTTATGCATTCCTTAATGCAAAAAAAAGCAGATATGAAATAATAGTATGCAGTTAGTGGTAAGTGCTATCAATTGGAAAACAAAGCCGGGTGAGGGAATGGAGGGAGAGCGGTGTGTGTGGGTATGTTAGCGCACCGCGCGCGCGCGTTCCCTCTCGGGAAAGCCTTCTGTGTTACACTTTAGATGGACTACTCAGGGAAGCCCTGTATTATGACTATGTTATCAAAGAAGTGTAAGGGAGAGAAAGGACTATAATAGATGATAGATGATTCCTAGCTATTTGGGAAAAATAAGTTACGTTAGACCCTGTCTTTATGAAGAAACAAGAAAATTAATTGATGGATGAAAAAGTTAAGAATGAAGAAAGTGTAGATAACCCTTTCTCTGACCCCTGAAGGGAGAGGAATGTTCTGTACTTAGAGGTAATGGAAAAAACACAAAGCAAAATCATGATAGGTTTGACGACATAAATGTAAAATCTGCTATATGGTAAAAGATCAGAAGAGAAATTAAAAAGTGAACAAGAAGTTGGGGAAAACACTGAACGTGTTACGATGAACTGGACAAAAGACATAAAGGCATAGCTTATAAACTTGGAGACAAAATGGCTAAAAATATATGATTAATATTTTGCCTCATTCATACTAAAAGACATGCAGGATTAAAAAACAATGAGATACCATTTTACCATTCTGACTACCTGATTAGATTAAAAAAACAAAACAAAAGGAGGATGCCTGTTTCTTCCTGGGGGTGGTAGATGGAGACTGTCTTGCACTGTTTACAGAGTATCAATTATTACAACATTTCGGGAATGCAGTTTGGCAGTGTGCGTTTATCGCTGTTGAAAATGTATTCTTCAACTCACTGGTTATACTGCCATGTAGTATCACCAAGAAAATAATGAGAAGCATAAGCAACGAAAGACAGCTAATATTTAAGTTTTGGGTGGTGGTTATTATTCACCAGGCACTTTCTAACACTCACATCAGCTCTGGGAGGCAGTATTGTTAACCCCCTTCTATGGATCAAGAAATTGCGGCACAGAGCGGGTAAGTGACTTGCCCGAGTTTATTCAGCTGGTAGAGGCTAGAATGGATATTCAAATCCAGCCAGCGGGACACCAGAGACCATGCTTCCAAACCCTGAGCCTTAAAGCCTTACACGTGAGGATGGTCATGGTGGTTATTTTATAATAAAATACATCTTGTGAATTATAGTATAGCCATATGAAGAAATAGTATGTGGCAATTAAAATGTTAACAGATATTTTTGTGACACAGGAAAATATTCATTATATACTGAAATACTTTAAACATTATCTTGTTTGAAAAGGTATAGAAAAAGTACAGGAAAACATGCTAACATATTATGCATGTTGAGATTATTTTCTTTTTTTCAGTTTTCATTTTTATAAATGTCCTACAATGGGCATATATTGCTTTAGAAATCAGAACAATTTTTAAAAAAAGAAAGAAACTTAAAAGTTACGGAAAAGCAAAAAGTAATATCAACATCAAGTATAACACCAAAAAATTACACTCTAAACATTCCTACATGTAAGATATTTAATATGCATATCCTCCTACAAATAATTTACTAATACTTGATGGGCTATCTACGACATTTCCCAGGACTGCTTTTTTTTTTCCTTTCTTGAAATGAGTTCATATATACATACATACGCCCACACACAGAGAAGTGCAAATAGCAGCTAATTGGTATACTAGGATCTTAACATGTTCCATATTTGAACTAAAATTAAGTCATCAGAATGCTGAATAATCTCATAGTCACCATATCTCTTAGTGGATCATTAAAACAACAAACAAAACTATGCCTTTTACAAGGAGAAGAGTGCCATAAAGGGAACAACACTTTACTCTCTACCCAAGATGAAGACTAGATGGGGTTAATACCAAAATGTGTGTGGGTGTGTGTAGGTAGGTTTCAAACCACAGAACTCTTCTAATTTGATTATGAACAATTGGTACTTTCCGTAGGCACCAAATCAAACCCAGTCTGTTACCAGCAACCTTATAGGCCAGAGTAGAACTTCCCCGTGTGCTTTCCAAAGAGCAGCTGCTAGCTTCCAGCTGCTGACCTTTTGGTTAGCAGCCAAGCTCTTAACCACTGTACCAGCAGGCCTCCTTTCCATACATATTTATCCTCTTTATCTGTATATTATTGATTATTTATCCCTTGGAAAGTCCACCAAATTCGTGATGTTATTCATAAGAATTGATGTAAATGGTTTGGTAGGTTAGCTATTCAACTTTATCCAGGGTTTGGGCATTGATAGTCCTTTTTGGGGATGGGAGATGGGCGGGAGTTGGTAAGAGGAGGAGCATTCCTTGGGTATGAGAGACTACCATGCACCGCATAAGTCTTCAGAAACATTAGCTCGTTTAATTACTCGATGATTTATGAATGAGCAAACAGGCCCTGAGACTTCTAAGTACCTTGCTCAGGCTTGCACCGCTGGTCAGGGCTGATTTATGTGTCCCCAGAACCAAGGTCTTTCTGTCAGTTGGGGTCTCTCCACCAGGGGAGGACTGCCGTGGGAGGTCAGCACTAGCTGCATGGGAAAAAGGCAACGTCAACTTGTTTATGAAGGATTCAGACTCAGTGGATGATTCCCACTGCATTCCTCCTGCTCTTCTGCTCTCTGAGACTGTAATTAGTAACATACAATTGAGGTGGGAGCAGGATAGAATTCAGCGCAACTCTCAATTCTCCGGGGTCACTGTCAGTGTTGAGTAGGGATTTAGAGTGTGAGAAACTTCCATTTTGACTCTCCATTTCCCTAAAATAAACATGTGTGAGCATGTGAGTTCAGACACGTGTATACATGCACACACTTATTCTTCATTAGCAAGTATTCATGAGTGCTTAGTATGTGCTAGGCGTTGTGTTGGGCTTTCGTGATCCATTAACCAGAAAAATAGACTTAGTCCCTAAATTTATGAAACTTACATCCTGGAGGAAGACGGACATTTAAAAATTCAGCCCATAAATCAATACCTAATTGAAAATTGTGATGAACGTTAAAAAAAAAGGAAACGGAATGTGGCAAGAGAGAAAAAGCAGTTGGTACTCTCTCGCTCTCGCTCTCTCTCTCGCTCTCTCTCTCTCTCTCACACACACACACACACACACACACACACCCAAGGGCAGAACTGCCAGCATCTCCCTGCATGTCACCAACTATTTATTCATAGAGTAGCAGATTTCCTAGAAATACGTTGTCCTCAACTTTGACCTTGTAGCCAGGATTTAGTAGACCAGGCCTAAAATAAATCAGGCTCTGTTGTATTCAACAGGTTACATTATTAGGGATTTCTTCAGGATGCTGAAATTCATTGCCTTGAAATTGTATTAGATATATGTAGCTGAATGTTTTGAGAATTAATGACTCCAATAAGGAATATGACATCCCCTGGGCCAATTTTTACAATAGTCCATGTGCAACAAGATTTTTTAAAATCTCCTTCCCAGGACAGATATGCTTTTGTTTGACAGCTTTGGCTGAAACTTTTGTTCTTTTTTCAGAGGAAGTATTTGAAGTAGAATCCTAAACATGCATTCCACAGAGCTGCCCTTGGCATTTCTGATACTGATGTTTAGTAACACCTCAGGTAAGTGTGTGTAATTATTCACAAGCATACTTCACTGGTAGTCCAGAGAGAATATCAAGGTCTCGTTTTTTTTATGTGGAGGTGGCTACTGAGTAGGGAATAGAAGACAGTGAATTTCTTAAAACTATTGATTTAAAATTTTACTTCAGAAAATTGCCAAGCATTTTGTGTTTCTGGCTAGAGAATGGAAGAATCATATGAGTATAATCAAATGAAAAAGACTCATACAGCCTGCTTGAAAAAGAAAGGATCCAGCCCTCTGAATTTGGGTAGAGAAAACAGGATGTGAAAAGTTGTATCCTGCAATAAATTACATTGGCCTGACTAAAATGTACTTTATGTTATTTGAGAGTGAGGAGATAAAGGCCTTCTTTCTTATGGGTTTTGAGAAGGTTTTACACACTGTCCCCTTCCTGAAATGAAGGCCAAGATTTATCTCATTTTTTAGGCAATGAAGAAAGTGAATGGGAACTACCTTCTACAGATCTTAAAGAAAATATTAAAGCTAGAAGCAATACATCAGAAAGAGACTATTTAGACTAGAGAGCACAACTAGGCTTCCCATCAGGTGTCAAATACTAATTTTAATTTATTAGCATTGATGGCTTGGAGCTTTTTATTGAGAAGCATTCTGAGACCATATCAGGATTCTTTGGAGAAGGGTCCCTTGATTGACTGACGCAGTTTACCAGTTCATTAAGGCTTCGGAGGAGAAGGTGGAGCACAAATATTAATTGGCCTTGATCTATTACCCTCAGTGGTACAAACAGTTAAGTGCCCACTACTTTGAGAGTTCGGCAGTTTGAACCCACCCAGAGGCCCCTTGGAAGACAGGCCTGGCAATCTGCTTCTGACAGGTCAAAGTCTTGAAAATCCTGCTGAGCAGTTCTACTCTGCACACCTGGGGTCTCCATGAGTCGGAGTTGACCTGAAGGCAACTAACAGAAGCAACAACAATACGAGTTCATATGCCTTACTTTGAGAATTGCTGCTGAAGACATAGCAGTTAAGCTATTGATATTTTCAGATAATACAAGTCCAACCTTGGGGAATATTTACTTATTGTAAATATTTACTTATTTACATATTGTGGAGATCCAGACAATGTCACACTACCCTGATGTTAAGGGAATGAGGTAGATCTGTTCTTCCTGATATTGAATGACCTGTCAGAAATGGCTGAGTAGCGAATCAAGGTGCAGCAAGCTGCGTGTCACGGTTCCATGCTTTATAGACGCACACGAATAACCTTGTTCCCATCATACCCTGAAAATATGTTTCAGGCACAGAAAGAGTGACACGGCCTGTTGTAAGGTTGCTAGGGTCCCAGTTCCCTGTCTTTTTAGGTACTTGGACACCACCTTTCATGAAGGGTTCACTCTAGGCAGATGTGACAATATTCTAAGTGTAGGATTCATTTAACCCAGTTGGAGTTGGGTGAAAACATCCTATAATTGTCCAAAGGCAGAACATTTCCAAACACAGACCTCATTCCAAAGGGTGTAGGTTCTTGGCCTTGCAGGATTCTTATACCCTGTTTACAAGAATAGAAGTTCCTATTCTGGGCTGTCCATACATCTTGAGCCCCACTCATTTCTCTAATGGAAAACTATTTCTAACAAGCATTATGTTAATCGACAAAGTCTCTGGTGTTGGACAGAATATATCTTAAGCCACTAGCTGTCTGGGGAATGTGGACTTTCAAGTGCCAATCATCAACACCTGGAGAGTGTATTCTAGATTCCAAAAGGTCCAAACTCGTTGCCATCGAGTCGATTCTGAGTCATAATGACCCTACAGGACGGAGTAGAACTGCCCCATAGGGTTTCCGAGGACGGCTGGTGGATTCGAGCTGCCGACCTTTTGGACAGCAGCCGAGCTCTTAACCACGGCACCACCAGGGCTCCTAGATTAGGTATTCTAGGTTAGGTCCCTTCGAATGGTAACAACCCCCAAAGAGCGATGACTGTCTGTGTCCATCAAAACGTAGGTACTTGTGTTTGTAGTAGCTTTCTCAATATTGGCCAAAACCTAGAAATAACCCAAATGTCGGTTACCAAAAGAATGATAAATCGACAAATGTTAACACGATTTGTTACTATATTCCCTAACGATGAAAAAAGAATAATTCACTGCTATCTACAGCCATGTGGATGGTTCTCACAGCCATAATGATGTAAGAAAGATTCCAGACACAAAAGAGCACATGTTGTATGATTTGTGCACTTTATTCCATGTATAGTGTATCTCTAAGAAAGGAAAAGCAGTTCAACTTTTAATAACCTGCCACTGCTTTTGGTGTCAATCAAAATTAACACATAAATTCATGCTTTACACCTTGTGTGTTGAAGTATTGAAATGACAATTAGAGATTCTGTAACAATCACTGAACATAAGGTTGATGTTCATTAACCCTTGTGCTTTGAGGTAGATTTGACATCCATGTTTTTAAAGAATGTTTCTATCATTTCAGCCACTTCTTCTTTACTTTGTGGTTAGCGACACTGAATTAAAACAAGACTGTTGCTTTGAGAAATAAATCCCAGCTAGAGAGAAGGCATTTTTCTCCATGACCTCAGGAAAGTGCTCTACTCAATTTAAGGTTCTCATTCTCAAAATGTGGTTTTATAGGATGACCTGGAGCCACCACAGGACAGGATATGGCAACTCTGAAGCGCAAGAAGCACACAAGGAGGGGCATGAGCGTTGACCTGTGTAGCCGGAAGGATAAAGCCAGAGTATCTGGGTTACTTGAGAAAGAGATGGGGTGGGGAGGAGATAGATCAAGCTCAGAGAAGGGAAGTGACAGATAGCTGGACTCGAGGAGGTATTATATTCATCAGTTCTTGATTATCCATGGTCACAACAATAACTAATTTACATGTCCTAAATCATATAGGAACACCTTTAACCCTCCCCAGGTCTGCCCAGGGTAGGAATAGGTAGACAGATTGAGAGCAAGATTCAGATGAAGAGCTCTGAGGTCTCCAGGTTTCTTGTTTTCTTTTCTATGAGACTTTCCTCAGCTGGGGCTGTTTTTGGGCAGGTGTGGCGACATTGTGACTTCCACTGTGGCTTCCCGTATGAAGAAGCGGTCATGTGTAATAGTTTCTTCTTTTGAAAGATTACCTCACACTTTTCCGTCCGGTAGTTACTGCAGGTTAAGCCCTGGCACCGTTCTGTTTGGGAAAAGCTGTGGGAAGTTTTGTCGTCCTCTGTGTTCTGAAAGTGCTTTGTCCCTCCTCCCTCCTAGGCTAGGAAAGTTGACCCTAAAATACGAAAACTCACGAGAATGTGACATTGAAATTTCCCAGGGCTTCTTTCTAACCTACTTTTCCCCCAGAGGCACTAGAACAGAAGAGAGAAAAACTAAACTAAACTAAACCCTTGTGATTCTGTTTTTCTTTTGCTTTGCTAATCTTTTGAAGAAAATTGTATGTCGCGTCTCCACATTACCGCGGTTGAAGGTGAGCCTTTCTATTTGAAATATTGCCGATCTTCATCTGAGCACAAGAATGAAAAAAACACAAGATGGTGCTACCAACCCAATGGGTCACTTGAACAGATTGAACTAAACCCAAGCAATTCACCCAGAATTGCTTTCCATGAGTATGCTTTGGAATTTTGGCCAGTTGAATTGAGTGACAGTGGATCTTACTTTCTTAAAATGGGGTGAGTATTTCTTTGTTTAAGTATATATATTTCATAGGATTCTTGGCCTCTGTTCAGCAGATCAAATATATAGTAATCTGAAAGGTCAGATACTCCTTTTTTTTTTTTTTTAATCCTCTACTTCTCCTACAACATGAAATATTTTATTATTAAAAATTAAATAACCCTCATGTGTTTATTTTATGAGTGTTCTTAATGAAATGAGATTATTATAATAGGATTTTCTTTCAGAGGAACCTTGCAAAAAATAAGTGAAAAGTGAACAAAAATCATTTTAAAATTTAAATTGAAATTGTCTAGATCCACTTGTCAAATGCAATAAGTGGCTGGGGCGTCATATGTTATTAACATGCAGTGAAGTGGGAGTGGTGTCAGCTTCGTGGGTGGTATCCTCAGGCTGGGGAGGAGGACTGGTGTAGACACACCCTAGTCAAGTTTTCAGGGGTTTATTGGGAGCCAGGAGTCCTGGCGGTGCAGTGGTTAACAGCTATGGCTGCTAACCGAAAGGTCAGCGGTTTGAATCCACCAGCTGCTCCTTGGAAACCCTATGGTAAGTTCTACTCTGTCTTATACGGTCACTGTGAGTCGGAATCGACTCCATGGCAACGGGTTTGGGTTTGGTTTTTGGGTTGGGAGCCAGGGGGGCGGCACTAGTGAAGGAGATGTGTGTTTACAGCCAATCACAAACCCACAGCTGGGACAATGAGAGGAGGGCACAGAAAGGAGCTTGCATAGCCTACTCATGACTGGCGCAGTGGTTAAGAGCTATGGTTGCTAATCAAAGGTTGGCAGTTCGAGTCCACCAGCCACTCCTTGGAAACCCTATGTGGCAATTCTACTCTGTCCTATAGGATCGCTATGAGTCAGAATTGACTCAACAGCAGTAGGTTTGGTTTTGGTTTCACTCATGACATAGCCTTAGATTCCACAAGGATACTCATAACTAAGAATCATAAGCTCTATAATATGAGGGCAACCATCTAAACGAGTCCACGGTTAGTACTGAATGTGGTTCTCTTTATGTTATTTGGTGAGATGAAGAGGGAGTAACTGGGAAAAGGAATCTTCTATGTGATTCACTGTTAGTGAGAAGCTTGATGGCATAATGTGTATTTGGAACACTTGTGATGAATCATGTATGTGTGTGTGTATGTATGTATATATGTATTTTTCTTGAGATTTGAGACTGACTTGTAGAAAATAGTCAAGGGCCAATTATGAGATGATGGTATGCTGTTAAGATGTAGCTAGATTCCTTTTAAGAGTGTCCCTGCAGGCTGTCCTGATGGTTATCAACAGTACAGCGGAGAGCAGAGCTTTGATGACACTCTTGCGGTTTTGTACAAAATTAGGTCATTTTTGTTTGTGTTTGTACACAGGGATTCCCAGGAGTCAGAGAGAAATTAAATGACCGCTTTTTTAATTGATGAGTTTTATGTGACCTTTAGGGGAGATGATTCCAGAAAATGGGTCACAAATGTGTCCCTCTACACTAAGCTAAGGAAGAATGAGTGTTCTCGCAAATGAGGTTGAGAAAAAAGAACAACAAATAATATACACTCTCTAGCCCTGACTAAAGGAGCCCTGGTGGTGCATTGGTTAAGTGCTCAGCTGCTACCTGAAAAGCCCACGCTTCGAACCCACCAGCTGCCCAGCAGGAGAAAGATATGGTAGTCCTTGACAATTGCTAGATTTCTTGCTGTGGTGAGCCAGAAAGAGGCAAGGGCAGGGTTTGGGAATAGTATAATGAGTTTCTTTATATAAAAATAATAATAAAAAAATTCTTTGGATTGGTTACTACAGGGAAGATAGGTGGTATTTCCAGACTCTCTGGAGTCATCATGCAATGCCTTTAAATCTTTCTTTCGTAGAAATGATACTCATGAATGGAAATTAAATGTTATCAGAAGAAATAAACACAACTGTTTTACTGAAAAACAAGTAAATACCAGAACTGTGGAAGTTAAAAAACATTTGATGATAAAATGTGAAACACCATACTACAGAAAACTGATCAACAAAACATCACTCTATAAGGTAATGCTTTTAACTTCAGACTTGGTTGAAAAGATAAAATTCCAAAATGAGGGTGAGATGGCTGTGGAGCCTTCTGGTCTTATAACACACACGGCGTGACCCCATACAATCTACTTGGCCTATCTGAGTAAGTGTCCTCACAGGGTTGTTGTAATGGGCTAACATACATGGTATGTGTAGCGCAGTATCTGGACCACATTCCAAAACCAAAAACTGGTTGCTGTCAAGATGATTTTGATTCATGGTGAGCCCATGTGTATCAGGCTAGAACTATGCTCTGTAGGGTTTTCAAGGTGGTGATCTTTTGGAAGCAGATCACCAGGCCTTTCTTCCTAGGTGCCTCTGGGTGGGTTTGACCCGCCAACCGTTTGGTTAGTAGTTGAGTGCTTCACTGTTTGCACCGCCCAGGGAGTTCCTGGAATACCTTAGGAGTTCAATAAATTATAATCACTTTCCTTCCCTGCCCTCACTTTATTTTCCTTCTCTTTTCAATAAGTTAGTTTTTAGGAATGCTAGTTTAAGGATTTTCATTTTCTTCTGCTACATTTACTTAAACTTTAAAACTGAGATATATATATTTTTTGAATGTTGAAATAATATGAGTTTATTATATAAAATTGTAAAATAAGAGAATAATGAAGAAAGAAAAATCATCTATAATCCCACCAGCCAGACACTTAGGAGACTTTGAGTATTGTGTGCAAACATCTACTTTTAACCTGTTGCCATTGAGTCCATTCTGGCTCATCGCGACCCTATAGGACAGAGTAGAACTGCCGTATAGAGTTTCCAAGGAGTGCCTGGTGGATTTGAACTGCTGACCTTTTGGTTAGCAGCCATAGCTCTTAACCACTGTGCCACCAGGGTTTCCTCTGCTTTTAGATAGTGGTATTTTTAATAACGTGTATCTTCCTTTTTTGCACTAAAATTATATTGTGATCATTCCCCCACATCTTTCAGCATTCTTCCAAACGTGGGATTCCATTGTGTTTGTACCCGATTTGATCTAATTAATCCACTGTTTCTGGACATTGAGGAGTTTCGTATATTTTACTGCTGTATTTTTATGAAAATAACGCGCACCTTCTGTGTTTGTTTAGCGACTGCCCCCTCCTCCCTGCAAGGTATTTTCGTAAGTGTGCGATGCTATTTTTTTTTTTTTACAGCAACATGTAAAAAATATGGGCATTGCAGTACTTATGGGGGGAGGGTGCAGTTGGCAATCAAACACAGAAAGTGTGTGTTATTTGCATAGAAATATGGTATTATTTATAATATTAAAGTAAACTTCATGTTCATAAGTCTTTGGATACACATCAACCAGATCCCTAAAAGTGAAATCACTTGGTCAGGGGCTATGATGGCTTGTGATGCACATTATGAAACTACTCTCTGGGGCTATGCCAGCTTAAAACCCCACAACTAGTAAAGGAATCTCCTCACATGTCTACCACACTGGGAAGTAATCATTTTAGAATGCTTCAAAATCTGACATGTAGAATTTTTGTGACTCTTTGATTTATTTTGCATTTCTTAATAATAAATATTTTTTCATGTATTTATTACATCTTAGTGTTACTACTTTTGTGGATTGCCTATTAATTTCCTTTGCCCATTTTTTTTTCAGTTGATGTAACTTTTTCTTTTTTTTTATGATTTTTTTCTTTTTTATTGTACTCCAGGTGAAGGCTTACAGAACAAATAGTTTCTCATGAAACAGTAGTACACATATTGTTTTATGACATTGGTTAACAACCCCACAACATGTCAACCCT